AGAGGAGAAAACAGGAAAAAAATGGAGGGACACACAAAGGAATATAAAAAGCAAAGCGAAGAAAGGCGAAAGGCGAAAAACAAGAACCCAAAGTAGCATGTCCCACCGCACGATGCCTTCCGGCATGGCTCTCATAGCTCAGTCGGTTAGAGCGTGGGTCTAATAAGCCCAAGGTCACAGGTTCGACCCCTGTTGGGAGCACTTTTCCCGGTTGGTTCTTCCCCCCCTACCGCGCACAAGCGGCCGAGCGGGACGACGTTTGGCTCAGCGCGTTTCATTTGCGAGAAGCGAGGGCCCGAAGCACCGTTCGTAGCGACTATTTCCCGCCGCCGCCGCCACGGCGCCGGTGCAGAGCGCAGCTGCATTGGAACGCGGCGCGCCGCGCGTGCACCGCAGGATCCATTTTTTCATGAGGCCGTTGAACGCCGCAACGTCCCGCGTGCGGGGGTCGGCGGGGCGGAGGAGGTGGGTGTGAATGGAGCCGAGCGGCTTGCCCTCGTAGCAGAGCGCCCACTCGCCGCGCGCGCCGACGGGCTGCGTGGTGAACTTTCGCGCCTCCTGCCGCGGGTCCCCGCGCCGGGGCTGAAAGAGGCGCCAGTACCCGTAGTTGTGCTGCGGGGGGACCTCGTACAGAGCCGGGGCGAACCTCCGCGCGACGCACTCCAGGGAGGCCTGGTCAAAATACCGCGAGTGCCGCGTCGCGCGCCGCCACTCGTGCAGAACCAGCGGGGAGGCGGCCGCCACATACCCGCCGTTGTAGCGACCGAAAAGGGCCTCGTCCTTGCGCGAAATTCGGTGCGGGGAGAGCGCCACCTCCGTGCCGCGCGGAAGTCGCGGAAGTTCGTCTAGGAGAACGACGTCGCAGTCGAGAAAGAGGACCGCCTCCGCGCTGTGCGCGGCTCGGCGCGCCAGGGCGTGCTCCATGAGATTCGCCTTCTCCATCATAAAGTCGGTGTGGCGTGCGGGGTACCACACGCCGCGCTGCCGCTCCATGGTGCCGCGGTCGATGGGGGCGTAGGGGTCCAGGCAGGGTATCCACTCGATGCGGCCGTCGTCGCGGAATCCGGCGTAGGCCCTACTGCGCGTCGCCTCCCCCGCCGTCAGCATGGCGGCGGTGCACCCCACGACGACGGGAAGGTCCGGGTGGTGCACCCGCAGGCAGCGCAGGAAGAGGCAAAGCTCGTCGTCGCACTCCGGGGTGCCCATCGTGCAAACGCACGCAATCGCCGTTTCCGACCCCGCGGCCGCGGCGGTTGTCATTCGAAGCCTCCGGGGAAATTTGAGAGATGCCTTTTCCTTTTTCTCCTTCTTTCTCTGCGCGGTGGACGAAGCTATCCCGCGCCGCACGGCAAGTTGCAACCGAGAGTGGCAGCAAAAAGAAAGGACACGGGGGCATCAAACAACGTGGGCCGCCACGGCGGAGGTTGTCCCTCACCGCAAAGACAGCAATACAAAGAAACAACAACAAGTATATGTATACAACGCAAGGAGTTTCGAGAGGCAAGGATGGGAGTCCCGCGGCGATTAGGCCGCGCAGAGTTCACGTCGTCCGCCCGCCTCGATTCTTCAAGGCCTTGGCGATACCAAACCGCATGTCCGCCAGCGTAATCGTGATGCGTGGCTCCGAGTGGGGAACCATCGCCGCCGCCTCGTCCTCCTTCGCAGCGGTGCCCGCGCGCTCCGGCTCCTCCGCGGAGGCGGGGGCCATGCGCTCCCGCAGGAGCTGCCAACAGTTCACCTTCGCGTCGTGCGGCCACTGCCGCTGCTGCGGTGCGGGCTGGGGCTGCTGCAAAGCAGCGGTGTCCTCCGCGCCCCGCAGGCGCTTGCCGCCCGGCGCGGCCAGCAGCAGCATCCACACGCCCAGGCAGCTGTGCGCCTCCGCCCGGCGCACCCCAACAGGCTTCGGCACAACGCCGCCGCCGCCTGTTTCGTGTTCCCCCGCGCTGCTCGCCCCATCCTGCGCCGTGGCCTGCTCGATCGCTTCCAGGGCGTCGGTGAGGCCAAGACGGTAGAGCGCCGCCACGGAGGCCTCCAGCAGCGCCGCCACCATCATGCGGGCCGCGCGACCGTGGCGGCCCTCCTCCTCCGGCGCCGCCGGGCCGAGCCGCGGGACGTAGTCGCCCAAGGCCACCGCCGTGCGTGCGGATATTTCCTCAAAGACGCGATGCGCCGCCGCGCGCCGCTTCTCTCGCTGGGCAGCCGCGGCGTACCTGCCCCCGTACGTCCCCTCGCCGTGGGCGGCGCAGGGCAGCCAGACGCCGTACCCACGCCGCCGCGAAGTTGTTTGCAGCACGGGCGACAGGGACGGCAGCGGACAGACATCCAAGTTTGTCTCACAGGCGACAAAGTAGCAGTGCCGCCGCGCGTAGGCCTCAACCAGCGGAATGTTCTGACGCGCCTTCGCCGACGTCGTCGGGCTCTGCAGAAACCCACGTCGCTCCTCCTCCGTCTTGCCAAACCACCACCGGATCAGCGCAATCGGGGGCGCCGCGGCGGCATCCTCCACCTGCATGCGACTCGCGCCTCAGGCAACGGCAAACACGCAAAGGCGCGGTAGACCCCAGACCCGCAGCACGGCAACGACAAGTTGAAAACAAACGAAAAAGAAAAGAAGAAAAGAAGTGAGAGGGGGAGGAACAGAGAAGGAAAAGGACGCGACTGACACCCGCAGCACCCACTGCAGTTTGTGTGGCCCGGTTTTTTTTTGTTACCAGCCCAGCACATAGCAGCTGCCACGGTAAACACGGCATCGGGCAGAGAAGTTAGCATAAAATGTCATGGTATGTATTCTTCTTCTTTTTTTTCTTCCTTTTTCTCTCTCAGTCCAGCCACGCTGCTTCCCCCCGCTCCCTTCCCGGACTTAAGCGGCACGTCGAATGCGTCCTCCAGCGGGTCCTAGATAGTCAGAGAGGGGAGGCCACGCCAGCCGTCACCGCGGACCATCACACCAGCACGCCCCGCTGTTCTGCGCCCTCGGGCTTTGCTGCGGTGCCGCCGCGCTGGTCGCCGCCGGGGTTCTGCCCGTGCTGCTGGACCACCGTCACGCCGTGCTTTCTGGCGTACTCCTCCATCGCGGCCTGCTTCTCCGCGAGGATCTTGTTGAGCTGCTCCAGCGCCTCCTGGATGCCCTTCACGTTGCCGTCGAGCTCGGGCAAAATCTCCGCCACGGTGCGCTCGACGAGGGCGCCGCCGACGAGGCGGTGGCAGCGGCGGTCCCCGTTCAGCGGCCGCAGCGCCTCCGCCACAAGCTTGTGCTCGTGCAGCTCGTTCTCCAGCTCCGAAATCCGCGAGACGAGGGAGAGGCACTCCTGCCGGAGTTGTTGGTAGCGCCGCACGATCGCCTCCTCCGAGGGCGCGGGGCTCCCGCCGTTGTTGTTGTTGTTGTTGCCGCTGTCAGTGGAGGTCATAACTTTGCCGCACCGGCCGGCGCGTCCGCGTCCTTCTCCGTTTACTCTCGTTCTACGCAAAAAAAAAACAACAACAACAAAAACAAACAAACAAAACAACACCGCCGCCGAATGAGGTCGGGCCGAGCCCGGCAGCCATGGGGCGCAGGCGCGAGGTGTGAAGAAAAAGAAAGAGGCGATACACGCACATGAGTAGAGAGGGGTGAGGCAAAGAGAGGGCGCCACAGAAACGCAGAGCCACCATGCACGCCGACAAGGAAACAAACAACCGTAGCCACACGGAGCGGCAATGCACGCACACGTAGATGGGACTTTGTCCGTTGTTGTTATTATGCAAGGCATTTTTGCCGCACTCCCTCCCCCCGCCCCGCCTTTGTTTCGTTTTTCTCAAAGCTCCCTTTCGCCTCGCTCGGCAAGGCGGGCGGCAACAGCAGCCTCCAGCCGGCGCAGCCGCACGTCGTTGCCTTGCATCTTCGTGTTTGCCACCTGCAAGAGGCGCCGCACGTAGGCGTGCTGGCCCGTCACGTAGTTCACGCCGTCCATTACGAGCGGGACATCGAGCCCCAGTCCGGGGGCGTGTCGGATCCCGCACATGATTTTCTTCCCGGGCGGCGTCACCCCGCTGTTGCGGAATCCGGCGTCGGCCGCGGCGGCAGACAACAACCGCTTCGCGCCCTCCATCGTGCGGCACTCGACGTGCATCACGAAGGGCTCCATCTTCAGCGCGACCATGCCAAAGGCGGGGAGGGCGGCGGGCCGCAGCACCCCCTCCCGCACCCAAACCCCGCCCAACTCGCCCGCCTGTTGCCGCCCTTCCTCGTCCTGCGCCTCCGCCGGTGCAGCGCCGGCGCCCGCTTCCGCACCGTCGCACAGGGCGTGCACCAGGAGCTCGATCTCGCGCCCTGTGAGGGTGTCGTGTTTGACCAACAGCCACCCCAGTGCGTCCTTGTCGCCGCGCTTCACCGCCGCCGGCTCCGCACCCGCACGATCCTCCGGAACAGCGACACTGTGGAAGAGTGCGATGCGGCCCGAGCAACTGCTCGTCGTTACGTAATCGTCATCGGTGTTCAAGAGCTGCATGAGGGGGAGGCACTTGCGGTCCACGCCGCCCTTGGGGCTGTGGTCGCACGCGTTGCTAGAAAGATTCATCATCACCTGCCGCTTATGCGCCGCAAACTCCTTTTCGCACTGCTGCCGCTTCGCAGCGTGAGGCCGGCGGCGCTCCTGCCACGCCGGAGTCGCGGGGGTCTCGTTGTCGCCCATTTGTGTGTGTGTCCGCCGCCACTACCGTCCCTCCCCGACACGCACGCGCAAGCAGCGAAGGGGCAAGCAAGCAGAGAGATGACACGGTGAGGGTGGTGCCGCGTTGCAGGCGCGCCAGGGCCCCCATTCGCCCCCCTGCTGGAGGAGGCAGCAAAGAAAAAAGAAAAAAAAGCACGCTCTGCATCGCGGGGCCGCCCTCCCTGCTCGGCAGAGACTACACTCACTCGCACCAGAGAACGAAGATGTACTAAAGCGAAAGCAACGAATTAAAAAAAAAAGAAAGACAAAAACACACAAATCGCGCCGCCTATCCCGCCCCAACCCCAGAAGGAAGTCGCGACGGCGCCAGTCGTCGGCGCGGCAAATATATATGTGCGCGTAGCGAAGTGGTTAGGGACGGCGCTTGTGGCCGCGTCCCCCCCACATGGCGGTGTTGTGGGGATGATGATACAAGCGAGAGGGAGAGCGTTCTTTTCTTTTTTTTTCCCCCCTTTTCTTTATTCCTCTTTGCGCTTCACCCGCGACCGTCCGCCCCAACCCCGACGCTTCACTGAGCAGGGGGGAGCACCGACAATACCCGGCGCGGCCGCAACTATTATTGCTATTTACGCCGCATCAGCTTCCCATCAGAGACGGGAGCTCACAGCAGCTGCCCTCCCCCCGTTCCTCCTCCTCCTCCTCTTCCGCCGCCGCCTCGTTCCCAGCGGGCGTGTTCCACCACCGCGGCAGGGAACCACGCTGTTTGTTGCCCCGCGGCCGTGCGCGGACGTCGTCAACGGCCTCCCCGGCAGCATCCGCGCTGGCGGAACGAAACGCCTTCCTTCGCTGGCCAGCCGCGGCGAAGGAGGGGGACTCCTCGGCCGCGGCGAGTGTCCGTAACGGGAGGCCTCGGCGCGGCTCCGCATGGGCGGCGGTGCCCTGCTCTGGCCGCCGCAGGAAGAAGCCGCGCTGCGGCAGCGGAAAAGGCAGTCTTAGCGGCATGGGCGGGCTGCCGTGACGCGGGCGCCGGGCGGCCCCCGCACCAGTCGCCGGGCCACACGCGCCAGGACTTGTCACGTCACCTCCGCAGGCCCGCGTAGGCGAGCCGCCGCGTGCGTCGCCCAAACACGAGTAGTTGCAGAGCAACCGCAGGCGAAAGGGGGTGAGCAGCTCCGCGGATTGGGCCCTTTTGGTGGACGCGAGTATCGACGTTGCAAGGGGAAACCCACCACTGGCGGCGGCATCGTTTGCCCGGCGTTTCTGCTTCTCGCTGCGCCACTTGAGCAGCAGGGCAAGCATGCGCTTTCCACTGATGCTCGGGTCCGCAAAGGGGTAGTGGCGGCGGTCGCCGCCCCCGCAAGGCTCCGCCGCCGCCGCCGCCGCCTCCGCTGGTGCTGCCCCCGCACACGCGTCGGCAGCCCCCGCAGCGTCGCTGCCGCCCACGGCGACCGTCCTCTTTCTGTCCCACGCGGTGGCCACGCCGTGGTCGATGCAGTCCAGCAGGTGCGTGTGAACCTCCATAAGCGAGCGGTCCAGGTTGGTGTTGTTTATCACGCGTATCTGCAGCGCGTGCGCCTGGTCAAGCAGGTGCTGCTGAATGAGGCGGATGTGGCGAAACTGCGAGACGTACTTGTTTCGCTCCGGGGAAAGCGCCATGCACTTGGCGCGGGTGCAAAACCGCTCCACGTGCCGCTGCTCCTTCGCAATGCAGACGAGGAACGGCACACACAACACCCCACGCGCCCGCAACTCCGCCGACTTGCGGTGCATGTACGCCGCCAGCAGGTGGACGCCCTCCACCACCACCGCCTGGCCGCGGCGGATAAATTTCTCGAGCACGGCGTCAAGGGCCCGCAACACCACCTCGCACTGCTTTTCATAGGCCGCAATAACAGGGTGCGGGTCCACCGTTTCCGTTTCCGACGTGCCCGCGCCCGTAGCTGCTGCCGCAGGGCCACCGCCGCCTTCCTTGGCTCGGTGGGCCTCGTAGGTGGAGACAAACAACTCCGGGTACTCCTCACGGCGTAGCGTGCGGCGAAGGGACTGACGAACCGTGTCGGTGGAGAGGAGCGTGTGGAAGCAGACGTTCGTGGTAATAAGGCTGGAAAGCGTGCTCTTGCCGCAGCCGCTGGTCCCCCCGCAGAACACCACGAGTGGCCTGCGGTCCTGCACAATGGCCTGCGCCACAGTCCAGCGCGGCAGCGGCGTCACGGTGAGGCGCTGCCCGCGCAGCTCGCGGCTGAGCAGCCCGGCGATGCAGCGGTCGAAGGTGTGCTTGGCAACCACGAGCGTGTACCTTCCGGCGGCGGGTGCGGCTGCCTGCGCCGTGCCCGCCAGCGTCTCACGCGAGGCGGAGGCGGCGGCAGCGGAGGCGAACTCCGCAAAGTCGACCGTGTGCCTCCGGTCAACGCCGCCACCGCGGCGACGGAGGGAGCGCAGGACGCCATGCAACGCGTCGTACCGCACCAGCGCTGCAAAGTCGCCCACGACGCCGCCGTTTGCACCGGCGCCCGGGTCGGGCAGCGGGGGGGCCTGCCACCTCCCACACGCGCCACGCCCCGCCGCCGCGCCGTAGCACAGGAGGAGTAGGTACGCCCAGAGCTTTCGCAGCGCGTCCTGGCAGTGGTGGCGCTTCACCCCGCAGAGCGCGAGGGTCCGCCGCATCTCGTGCCACGTGAGAAACCGCTCTGGAGGCACCCCAAAGGAGGAAGCCGGCTCCGCGGCGTCTAGCACCGCCGCACCTGCCACGCCTTGTCCCGCCTCCCGCGCAAGACTCTCACCCTGCGGCGGTAACACCACAAGGAACGGCACGGTGACGTCGATGTCTAGAAAAGGTCCAACGGGTATTACAAAGTCCGAAAACGCCATGAGACGCAGCGCCACCCTCTGACTAGGACCGGTGCAGCATACATTGGCGATAGTGGCAGAAGCAGCATGGGTGCCGGAAGACGTCGAACCTGCGGAGTCCCCAATACTTGACGTGGTGGCGTTAGGGGGTTCGTCCGGCTCCGCTGTTGCCTCGCCTGTTGGCTCCTCAGTCTCCATACGCTGAAGCTCTCTCTCCTAAGAGCACCCTCTCGTACTCCACGCAAACCACCATAAAACAATGAGAAAAACGCACATGTGTATTACATGCGTGTATTACAAAAGTAAGGGGGAAGCAGAAGATGGACAGAGACAAGATACATGCATACATACATATATATATATCTGCATACAGAAGTGTGTGTGTGTGAGAGAGAGAGAGTATCTGCGTGTATATCTACTTAAACGTATGTGCACACAGATGCATGGTGATATTCGTCTGTAGCTGTGTGTGAATGGGAGAGCAGTTAGTGCAGCCGCACAAGACCTCCTCGCCCACGGTCGGCCCACAGGCTCGGCAGCGCAGCTGCCCACCGCAGTCTCTCTACCTTCACCCACTTCACATCCACAGCCGAGGAAATTGCCGCACCACATATATATATATATATATATATATATCACCGTATACTTTACCCACACTCGTACTTTCCTCCTCCCCCTTTTTTCCCGTTGCCTCCATGCCCCAGTTACTTCCTGCTAGCAGTGGCGCCGCGCCCGCAACGTCGCGTTGCTGTTTCTTTTTTTTCGTGTTTCGGCTCCCGCTTCCTCGTGTCGCTGCCGCAGCGCTCAGCAAAAGGGGCGTCGTCGCTTGGCCGCGCCGCCGCCGCCCCGCGCGCGGGGCTGTAGGGGAAGAGCACCTCCATCACGTTGCCCCACAGCCCACGGTCGAAGATGCCCTTGAGGTCGCCGTACAGCATCTTCTGCACCCGCTTCCTGTAGGACTTGTCGCCGCGGCTGCCCGGCACAACCTCCGGCGGGGGGGCCGCAAGTTGCCGCAGCTTGCGGGGAGGCCGCGCCGCCACGACCTCCAGGCGCCGCCGCACGCCTAGCGCCTCACGGTACACCGCGTCCAGCGAGGGGAGCGAGGCGACAAACTCGACGGTGTCGTCGATCTTCCCCATGTCGTTCAGCGTCAGGTTGGTGAAGACAAAGGACATCTGGTAGAGCCAAAACACCCACAGCAGCAGCCCAATCAGCACGGCAAACATAAAGAGGCAGACGGCGATGGTTTGGTGCGTCGCGAGGATGACCAGGTAGTGCTCCAGCCGCAGCGGGTAGCGGCGGCCGTCGTGGAGGCGTATCGACCACCCCCACGCGTGGTTTCGGATCAAAAACGTCTTCATGATGGTGTACAGGTCCCACGCTGCCCAAAAGCAGGAAACCGCATGACACACAATGAAGAGGAGAAACCAGCGATGCGTGCCCTCGGCGACGTCGTTGTTGATCCACGGGCAATGGTGGTCGTAGCGGCGCACGCAGAAGTCGCACAGCCGGCAGTGTTTACTGCGACTAGGGCGGGGCACGTGACACGTGGTGCACTCCAAACCCGTGGCTGCTGCTTCCGCCTCCGCCTCCGCTGCCGGCGCGGATGGGAGTCCCCCGGCGGTGCTCCTCGCCACGCTTCTACCGTCCATGGGGTAGAGAATACCGTCCAAGACGTACTTCCTGTTCTGCCGAGCCTCGGCCTCGGGGGAGAGCAGGAACTCCCGCCCCCTGCTTCCCCGCCGCCGCGACCCCGGCCGGCTCGCCGCGGGAGCCGCACTATTTTCGCCCGCGTCACGCCGCGTGCTGGACTCCCGGCCCTGCAGCTGCCGCCTGTGCGCTGTGGGCCGCGCCGGAGCCGCAAAGGCGCTGCGCTGCGCCTCCGCCTCCTCGCGCGAAGTGACGATGCCGGGGTCGCTGAAGACCGCCAGGCCGTACGTGCCCTCGGAGAGCATCACAAGGCCGCAGGAGACAATCTTCGACCACACCGACGCCTGCAGCTCTGGAAGGGCCACGAAGAGGTAGAGCAGCTCCACCGACCACACTAGAAGAATGTAGAAGGCCACCATGAACCAGTTCCGCTCCCGCAGCGTGTGGTCGGCGCAGCGCGTCCATTTCTGCCGCCCGCGCGTGTAGCTGCAGCCGAAGAAGACGCCGCAGAAACAGCCGCAGCAGACCGCAGGACAGTCTATCAGGCGCAGGTAAATGCGCCCAACCGCGCCGTCACGGTGGTAGCGCGAGGGCCCCATGATGATGACGTAAATGAAAGCCGCCACCGCCATGATGAGCAGCGCCACGCCCAACAAAACCGCCTCGGGCGTCATGCCGCACAGAAAAGCTCCGCAAGCAAGAAAAAAAAACAAAACAAAAAACAAAAATAAGGAACACACGCAAACACACACAAATGACGGTCCCTGCCCTCCTAGGGACGTTGCCTACCTTCGGGTAATGCTGGCAGTGACACCGCCTGTCGTTCCTGCAGAGAGGTGGTGCAACGGGGAGAAGAGGTATGCGCCCGCCCCGTGTCCGCTGCAGGGGTCGGAGGCAAAAGGAGACCCACGCAGAAGAACAAATTCTAAAGTCAAGCACCCTCCAAGCTCTCTCACACACACACACATACAAGCACGCAAAATCACACAGCCAAACTCGCATCCGCAGCAAAGCCCCGGGGTTGCGGCAACAGCCTCCCACAAACTGCCCCTATCGCTGCCACACTCCTCGGAGGGGCCGCACCCGCCGGCCGGCGTGCCACCCACTCAATCATCGAAGTCCAGCACCACTTCGTCTTCGCCTGCCAAATTGATTCGCTGGCTCTTGGTCGCGGCAATAACGGAGAGCAACGTCGAACGAACCGACTCTGCCCCTTCCCTTCCCTCGTTCCTTGAGAGGTTCTCCGTGAAGGAGGAGTTGGACTTGTCAAGACTGCACGAGAGCGAAAAGTTCCCCTCCTGGAAGCGCTCCGAGAAGAGAAGCGGCGCCGAGGTTCTAGGCAGCACCCGCGGGTTCTCCGGGAGCAGTGCCGCGGGCGCGCTGACTTCCATCACGCGGGCAGATGCAGACGCAGACGCAGTAGCGTCGGCGGCGGCCGTGGAGGGAGCATTCGCGTTTTTGCTGCTGCCGCTGGAATCGACGTCAAACGCAACGGCCTCCGCCTCGCCGGTGTTTGCCTCGTGCGGGGAGGGCAGCCGCCAGGAGGAGGGGAGCAGGCAGGAGCTGCGCACCCGCCTGTGAACGGTGTCGGCCAACTGCTGCGCCCAATGCGTGAAGTCGAAGCTGTTGGGTCGTGGCTTCTCCGTCAAGTCAATCGCCACCACCGCTGCCGCGGCGGAGGGCGTTGCGTCGGCGGCGGCGACGAGGACGGTGGGCTCTGCTGTGGAGCGCTGCTGCAGGGCAAGATCCGCTCGCTGCTGCCGGCGCAGGCGGGAGTTGTGCGAGAAGGACGGGGCCGTCGCGCGCGTCTGACGGGCGGCGTCCTCCGCAGCGTGTGACTGCCGGGCGCCGCCGTGGCGCAGCGACGCCGCCAACTGCTGCAGCCTCACGTTGTGCGCCTCCGCCGTGTTGCGGAGCGCGTCCACCCACTGCTGCTTCTGCTCCTGCGTCGGCGCGAAGAAGGTGAGGCGCCGCTGCTTCGTCACAATGTCAAAGCCGTTCACAACGTCGGCGGCGTCGTCGAGCTCAACCACCCGCAGCGCCTCGAGCGAGATGGAGGCGCGCAGCCGCATGCGACCGTACGCCTGCTCCTCCACGTAGCAGAGCCAGTCGCTAAAGAGGAACACGAGCCGCTCGTGGCGGCCGCGCCGAAACCGCTTGACGAGGCGGCCGCAGTGCACGAGTGTGCGGTCGCCGTCCTCGTACGGGTGGATGCGGGGGGGCTTCGCCCTGTCCGCCTCGAACAGTACGGTGGTTGCCGCCTGGTCAATGAGGGACATAATGTGGGCGACGTCCTGCCGGGCCACCTCGTCAAGCACGAGACGCTGCTCCTCCGCTAGGCGATGCGTCATCACATCGATGAAGTCTCTCTGTAGCCGCTGGCGCACAGGGGCGGGGAGGCACTGGGACTCGATGATGCAGCGAGCGACGTGCAGGTAACGGCGAAGCGAGGAGAGCGGGGTGGCCAGAAGAACGAGCAGCGTTTCGAATCCGCGCCAGTCCGGCGGGATCGGCGGGGCCTCCTGCAGGACGGCGGAGGCCGCCAGGGGCTTACTGTAGCCGCTGCTGCTTCTGCTGGTGGCGACGCCCGCGGCGCGGCGCCGCTGCAGACGCGCAGGGTCTGTCTCTGGAAGCCGCGTACACATCACGCGTGGGTCGCTGGGCACGCCGGCCTCGTTGCCAAAGGCGTCCCACAAAAAACGCAGAAACCGCATGTGGCTATCCAGCTGCTGCCGATCCCACGCGCTCAGTCGGGCGTTGGCTTGCTTGTCGCAGCGGCACCGCCACAGCCGCCACAGCTTCATCACACACGGGGCAATGTTACGGGAGTAGTTCAGGCTGTACATCATGTGTTCCGCCATGAAGTGCCGCATCGCGACGGAGCAGAATAAGTCGGGGATGCTGCCCGCCCCCCCCGTCCCCTGCGCCGGCAGGCAGACTGTGGAGGAGACGGAGGGGGCGTCGGTGGAGGTGTCGCTCGCAGTCCCCTGGGGGGGCCGCCGCTGCAGTTGATGCTCCTCGAGAATTTCGGCCCTGCGACGCACAACCGCCTCCAGCTTACCCACGAGGGTGCTGTGCGCGTCGTGCAGGGTGGAAATGTTGGCAAACAACTCCCAGTACTGCGAAAAACGCAAAATGGCGGCCGACTTCGACCCGCCGCCGCTGTGGCTGCCTGTGGCGGGCGGCGATTGCCGCGCCGCGGGGCTTAGCTCGCAGCTTTCCTGGATCGGGTCGTGCAGGTGCGCGACGACGTAGGAGAGCTGGGCCAGCAGCGGGCTCTCCTCGTCCAGCACGCGCTGCAGGATGTCGAAGGAGACCTCGAGAGGGACGGGGGCATCCGCCGACGAAGCCATCCTCCTCCCCACGCCGCGGCCGCTTCTGCGAGGCTGCCGCAAACTATTCCCCCCCCTCGCCTCGTCCCAACGTTCCTTTTTTTCCCCTTCCCTTTTCCTTCTCCCTCTCTCTCGCTGTGGAATACGACTCGCTTACGCTCTTACCTTTCCGTCAGTCCACGCAGTGGCGCGGACGCGGACGCACGGCAGCGAAGAAGAACAGAATAGATGCACAGAGAGGCAACGAGAGAGAGAGAGAGAGA